CTAGGGATACAGGGACCTTCTCCGTTCCGCGGACTCTTCCCGGAGAACGCGTGTGCACGCGGTTTTGTTCCTGGAAATACATATATATGTATATGTATATTGCGACGGAAATTTTACGCCGTTGTGTTCCCGCATTTCCTTGTATTTATCCTTGTATTTTTGTTTGCGCGCGCGAGGGGCGATTTTTTAGCGTCGAGAAATTCTGCGGAAAGGCGCGAGAGCAGTATCGTTGAAAGTTATTCTGTATGAAGGGTGAGAAAGGAGATTAAAACTTTTAATTCTGTTCACTCGAAGCCGAATTAACGTAAAATTTGATCGAAAGCTTTTGTGACCCATTGCGTTTCCATTTTATGTAACCTAATGCATTTTGTACGTATGGAATCGAATTTTGTGACAGATGCAATAACAGTTCTTTAAATATGAACAGATTTGATTGATAAAATTGTTTCGAAACGTGGCGTAACAATTTTTAATGGCACCTTGGAGTCGCCGTTCGAGTGGAAAGGGTTAATATATCTGATATTTCGATTGAATTGCACGCTGCGACTCAGTCAAGTTCCCATTTTCAAGTGCAAAATGATTCATTTACGTCGGTATATTCTAGGGTTGATTTTCTACCGCCATTTTCGCGCAATTGCACGAAAAGACGCGAGATCGGCACCATTAGAAGTCATTCTGCATGGACGATCAGAAAGAAAACTAAAACTTTTCATGCATCTAGTATTTCGATTGCATTGCATGCTTCGATCTAGTTAGATTTCCATTTTCAAGTGCAAAATGATTCATTTATATCGAAAGTGAAGCGTTGTCTCATAGGTCGATGTGTGCAAGGGTTGATTTTCTACCACCATTTTAGCGCAATTGCACGAAAAGATACGAGATCAGAGCCACTAAAAGTCATTCTGCATGAACAATCACAAAGAAAACTAAAACTTTTCATGCATCTAATATTTCAATTCCATTGCATGCATCTATCCAATCAGGTTTTCATTTTCGAGTGCAAAATGATTAATTTATATCGAAAGTAGAACGTTGTCTTATAGATAGGTGTGTGCAAGGGTTGATTTTCTACCACCATTATAACGTAATTGTACCAAAAGACACGAGATCAATGCCATTAGAAGTCATTCTATACAAACGATCAGAAAGGAAACTAAAACTTTTCATACATCTAATATTTCAATTCCATTGCATGCATCTATCCAGTCAGGTTTCCATTTTCAAGTGCGAAATGATTAATTTGTATCGAAAGTAAAGCGTTCTGTGATAGATCGATATGTGAAAGGGTTGACTTTCTGCCATCATTTTCGCGCAATTGCACGAAAGACGAGATCAGCGCCATTAGAAGTAATTCTGCATGGACGATCAGAAAAAGAAAACTGAATCTTTTCATGCATTCAATCTTACAATTGTATTACACACGCTTCGACCCAGTTAAATTCCCATTTTCAAATGCAAAACGTGTAATTTCCTTTAAATGCGAAACGTCGTTTGAAGGGTTCCGAGGAACTCATTTACATAAATAAAGTCCGCCGTCACAGTATTCGCGACAACGCACCGTCATTCTTTCTTATTCCATTTCACAGTTTCCGACATGTTTTGCGACCGACTGAAAAATACAAGCTGCACACGCGTTGCGAAAGAAGCCTCGAGGGAACAGAGATGGTTTTATCTTTCGGAAGAATGTAACGAAATTGTTTCACGTAACCCGACTCCTTTTTCCGAGCGCTATTTCGAGTGTATAGTTCGAACGAAGATTGCAGTGGGATTCGGCGAAGTAATGTAATTTTGCTCGATAATGTAGGTGTAGGTGCGAGTAGAGCATGTTTTAAGATCAAGCGAAGAGATTTATCGGCGAGAAGCGAACGGAGCGCGTTCGCCACGGAATTAATTAAGTTTCGGCGCAGGAAAAAGAGCAACGATAGATTCTAGAGATTAACCTCGTCTGAAAGGCACAATTGACGGTGCTTATAATCATTCTCAGCTGCAATGATTAATTTTTAAAAATCTGTACTCGAGGATACGAGGATACTTTCACTAATTTCGATGAAATTTTCAGCATTTTTACAAGGTGTCCCATAATTATATTAAAAGAATATATATAAAAAAGAGCAACGATAGATTCTAGAGATTAACCTCGTCTGAAAGGCACAATTGACGGTACTTATGATCATTCTCAGCTGCAATGATTAATTTTTAAAAATCTCTATTCGAGGATATGAGGATACTTTCACTAATTTCGATGAAATTTTCAGCATTTCTACAAGGTGTCCCATAATTATGTTAAAACCTTGAAAGGGATGATTCTTGCTATCATTCGAAGAGCAACTTCTTCCTTAGCGAAAACGCAATCCGCGGCTTTGTTTACGAGTTATCAACGAAAAACGCCGATCTCGCCTCTGATTGGTCAGTGTTTTTCGTTAATAACTCGTAAACCAAGTCGCGGATTGCATTTTCGCTGAGGGAAAAGTTACTTCGAATGATCTCAGGAATCATACTTTTCCGGGTGTTGAAATAATTATGGGACACCCTGTATAAATCCCCAAGATCTACGAGGCGCGTTTTTCAGATTTTCATTGCAGGCTCGGATAAGAAAATTAACCTATTACACATTACATACCCATTACCAAAATGCAAAAAAATATTAAATTCAGCTCATTAGTTTCAAACTGAAGTTTACAATGATTTAAAACAAAATAGCGAGAATTCATAACACTTTCATGAAGCACGCGATACGTTCTCGCTATTTCAATGTCTGCGTCTTATTTAGAAAAGTTTCAATTTTTAAAAGAAAAAAAATTTGGAAAAGTGTCCCAAGAATGGAACATTAGCGAATAATGGGTTAAGAAATAAATATTATTATTATTATTATTATTAATATTTTTATTATTGAATAATATTCTAATTTTTCAATTCTCTAGGAATCTACTAGTTGTTCCGACGCCGCAAAAAAAGATTCAAGTCGTTTGAACGAGTTCGAAAAAAAAGTTATTCCGTTTGAAAAAGTGTTACCATACTTTCGACGCGAGTGCAGCATAAATATGTAATAGTATAATAACTACGGGCAGCGCGAAGTTACTGCTCTGCTTTGTGCATGGATACGTATTTCAAAGCCGCGGAATCGGCGCGCGGGCGTCGGGAGAGATTCGGTTTTCGATTTACGTGGCAAGAAAGAACCGAAGGAAACGCGGTCTCGGAAACGTGATGTGAAAGCGTGTCGAACACCGTCAAACCGGGGACAGACCGCGGCGATCTGACATCATCGAATTACGTACGTATCGGCATGAACCGAGGAAGCCGTCGACGCTTCGGAACGGACGTTGACGGGCGAACGTCGACGCGGACGCATTTAGACGCGCGATTACGTGGAACTCCGGCGACGTCACGTGGCCGTCAATGTAACGGGCAACGAATTCATTCTCCCTTCGGTCGCGTTCCCGAGGTTTATTTACGGCGGCTCGTTTCGGCCACTTTCCTTTCCGTCGCGTTTTCCACTTATCTTATTCACCGCGTCCCCTGTCCTTCGCAGTGCACAGAAATTTAGACCTCCGCGAAGTCCACTTTTACCCCGAAGCTCGTCCCAGTAATCAGCTGATCCAGGTTCAAACGTTTCCAGCGTTGGAGATCGAAGCTTTCTGCTGAAAGAAAGTGTAACAGATTCGGGAAATCAGAGTTCGTTCGCGCTAATTATTTTTAAATCGCGTTTAGGTCTATGCGAAACATGATTGAATCTGACTAAACATTTTTGAATTAGGATAGACGGTAAATTAATGAATTAGCTGTGTCGCCTGCTTTTCAGAGTACTCATCTGTATGTGTCGCGAGAATCGAGCGATGACGAGTTTACTCGTCACGATAAAAGTATTGCCACTTCTCTATGACGAGTATACTCGTCACGATACAAAGTATTACCACTTCTCCACGACGAGTATATTCGTCATGATACAAAGTACTGTCATTTCCCCATGACGAGTATACTCGTCATGATACAAAATACTGCTACTTCTCCACGACGAGTATACTCGTCACGATACAAAGTATTGCTACACAACGAGTATACTCGTCACGATACAAAGTACTGTCATTTCCCCATGACGAGTATACTCGTCATGATACAAAGTACTGTCACTTCTCTATGACGAGTATATTCGTCACGATACAAAATTCTCCGTGACGAGTATACTCGTCGTGTCACAAAATACTGCCACTTCTCCACGACGAGTCTACTCGTCATGATACAAAGTACTGTCACTTCTCCATGACGATTATACTCGTCACGATACAAAATTCTGCCACTTCTCCGTGACGAGTATATTCGTCATACCATAAAATAATGCTACCCCTCCGTGACGAATATTCTCATCACGATATTAAATTCTGCCACTTCTCTACGACGAGTATACTCGTCACGATACAAAATCCTGTCGCTTCTCCACGACGAGTATACTCGTCACGATACAAAAGTACTGTCGCTTCTCTACGACGACTATACTCGTCACAATACAAAATTCTGCCACTTCTCCATGACGAGTATACTCGTCATGCCATAAAATATTGTCACTTCTCCATGACGAGTATACTCGTCACGATGCAAAATTCTGCTTCTACGACGAGTATACTCGTCACGATACAAAATCCTATCACTTCTCCACGACGAGTATACTCGTCGAACACAGCCGACTTATTAATCGACTTGCAACGCCGGTCCGAAAGTACGTTCCAGTTAAAAGCTTCTCCAGCGGTTCCACTATTTATCCGAAATACGAATACATGCCGTGGCAAATTGCGAAAATGTTCTTCCGTGATATTCCACGCTTTTAGAATTCTGTGGAAGTTCCCATTGAAAAGATAGCGGCTTTATCCGAGCATAAAGGTTCGTGCTGCATAAAATTAGGAAGCCGGGGAAAAATAAGTGGGGCACCAAATTGAGGATCCTTTCCTCTCTGCGGAACGCCGGAGTGTCTGGGCGTCATTGTCATCGTTCCCCTTTTCTGTTTACAGACGTACCCAGCGAGCAATCTGTCTTCGTTATGCTGAACGGCGAGGAGAGCGAATTGAGATTCCTGAATATTTCGAACCCGAAGGTGAGCAACCTACCATCTTTGCATTTTCCATTATATCATTGTACAACGTGTTCCATGAATTTCTCGAATTTTCTACGTAGCATTTTATAGGAATGATCGATAACGTTTCACGTTTCACGAAATTTCGTCGATTTTCGAACGGCGTTGTCTCAAACAGTCTTTATATTTTTATTACGAGAAGACGGAGCTAGAGAGCGTGCATCCGGACGCTTTCGTCGTGATGTATTCCGTGGTTGATAAGGCGTCCTTCCAAAGAGCCGAGGAGTACCTAGAACGCCTTCACGATCAAGAATTCCTGCGTGGGAAATCTGCGATCCTAGTCGGCAACAAGGTGGACCTGGTCCGATCCAGGGTGGTGTCTTCTCAAGGTCTGTAGAGAGGGATTTGTAATTACACGAATTTTTAGTTTTAATCCTCGGACGAGTTTGACAATTATACAATTGACGACACTTGTGACCAGGTTACGGATCGCTTTTTGAAATATAAAAATTGACTGCGTCAATTTCAGAAGACAGTAGCCACGTAGAAATATTGTTTAATTCTTCTTAATAAGCTTAATGAGCTGGAAATAATGAATTAACGTTCTTAAATTCTTTCAATTTTTCTACCGTTCGAAAATGGACCTACTGGTTTTTATTAAAAAGCGCGGCAAATTCTTAGTTCACTTATAAATATATTTAATAAATCTATATTAAAATAATATATATATTAAAAATATTTAATATATAAAATATATATAATAATATATAATATATATTATTAATATATTATATAAAATAATATATAATATAATATTATATTATATTATTATATTATATTATATTATATTATATTATATTATATTATATTATATTATATTATATTATTATATTATATTATATTATATTATATTATATTATATTATATTATATATTATAATATAATAAAAATATATGTTTTCGAATTGATATTCTTGCAGACGTAGATAAACTTTTGCTCCCAGCGCAGCAGATTTTTCTTTAATTTGCACGCAAAAAATCGTGCAATTAAGGAACGATTTCAATGCTCCGAGCCAAAATGGCCCGGTAACCGCAGTCCGAGGATTAAAAGCCGGCCCCCTTAGCATTTATACATATATACATTTACAAAAAGAGAACATTCTATAAACCTTCTGACCCAATAAGTGGTGCCAACAAAAAGGAACCGGATGCTATCAGTTTCTTTGCGACACCATCGGATAAGATTGAACGACTTGGCGGATTACTTCTCTAAGCTTTTCTGTAACAGTCTAATAAATTCTATGGAGCTATGAATATTTTAATATACGCCACGAACAAAATTTACTGGACGTATAATATCATGACTTTATAATTCGACGTGAACCAGAAAGATGATAGATTTAACGCGAAGATTTTCGTTGTTGCTCGAAAAATCCGGTGTAATTGGCATATCAGAAACAATTCGGCGCATTCGCACTTTCAGCCTCTATACAGTAATGTCTCTCTAACTAACGCTCAGATTGCCAATAAAAATGAACAATTTGGGAAGAGTAGGTATAATTATTCCAGCTTTGCGGCTCGTTTTTATAGTTACGAATTGTCGATAACTATAAAAACGAGTTGCGAGGCTCGAATAATCGTATCTCCTCTTCCCAAATTGTCCATTTGAGCGTCAGTTAGGGAGATATTACTGTATCTTTAAATAAATATACATTGAAGGAAAAAATTCTTTACTAGTATTTATTTACATACTACTTATTTGCTAGTATTTTACTAGATATTAAAGTAGAGTATATAAATGTCAAAATTTACATTCACTGTAAATCATTATCTACATAATTAAAAAACACAGAAGAAACGCTGCACATATCGGACACAGTGGGCGCAAAAGAATTAACGATTAGTACAGGTCGCAGCAATACAGTAATGTCTCTCTAATTGACGCTCAGATTGTCCACGAGAATGGACAATTTGGAAGAGGGGATACGATTGTTCGAGCCTTGCGGATCGTTTTTATAGTCACGAATTGTCGGCAACTATAAAAACCAGCTGCAAGGCTCGAATAATCATATCTCCTCTTCCCAAATTGTTCATTTTTGTGTGCAATCTGAGCGTCAGTTAGGGAGACATTATTGTACTTCGAGAAGTGAAATTCGCGAGGAGATTCGCGGTAGAATGCACCAGACGTCTGACGTTGAAGGGAACGGTTTCTAAAAAGCATTCAAGGCATCGCGGAACCGGCGAGATTGCTATACATAAAACGCAGACGAGTACCATAATACAGTAATGTCTCTCTAATTGACGCTCACATTGTCCACAGAAATGGACAATTTGGGAAGAGGAGATACGATTATTCTAGCCTTGCGGTTTATTTTTATAGTTATAAATTGTCCACAATTATAAAAATGAGCCGCAAGGCTCGAATAATCATCTCTCGTATTCGAGCCTTGCAGTTTATTTTTATCGTTATAAATTGTCCACAATTATAAAAATGAGCCGCAAGGCTCGAATAATCGTATCTCGTACTCGAGGCTTGCAGTTTATTTTTATAGTTACAAATTGTCAACAATTATAAAAACGAGCCGCAAGGCTCGAATAATCGTATCTCCTCTCCCCAAATTGTCCATTTTTATGCACAATCTGAGCGTCAATTATGGAGACATTATTGTACTTCGAAGAGAATCGAAGCGAAATGTGGGCTGATTAATTGAAGCTTTTATTTCGGCTCACGGTGTTATTTAGCGTCTCTCGGATTTGGCACGAATTTTTGCGACAAATCATATTATGTCGGGACACGAATCGCAGCTGATTTTTAAATTCAGTCGACAGTCTGAAACGTCACGGATAAAACTCCGTCCGTGCGTTCATTTGCACTTTAGCATGTACTGATATTTATTTCAGTAGCTTCGAACAGCTGCGTACAGACTTGCGCCAAATTTTTATTTATATTTTCATTTTTATCGAACGTCCACGTGAAAACCAAAACATGTTTTGGCACAATCTTTCTGAGAAAGATATTATGGTTTTAAAAGAGTTCTCTTAAATAGTTACATCCATTTAACCCGAAATGTTCGGTTCTATCATTTTTTTATATTAAGCTTCAAGTTGCCGCGTCAACGAATTTTAGCCTCGATATTTCAGAAACTGTCAGCTCGGCTTGGAAAGGCGCACAAATTCATAGCTCGATATAATCTGTCAACTTTTCACCAAAAAGGTTCGAAAATCGCGCGACGCAAAAGTGTCGAATTTTTTGGGCGACTCAAAGAATAACAACTAGACTGCGAATTTTATGCTTTTATGGGAAAAACAAGTATCTATAATGTCTCCGGGAAGATCGAAAACATTTAATAAGAGTAAATTTATGTTATTAAATTTTAATAACAGTAAATTTATGTTATTAAATTTTAATAACAGTAAATTTATGTTATTAAATTTTAATAACAGTAATTTAATGTACAGTAAATTCTCGCTAATTTTCCTTCAGCATATAAACAAATATGGACAGTTATTCGAGCCTTGCGCCGCGTTTCTATAATTATTAACAATCGGAAATTATAAAAATAAACTGCGCGGCTCGAATAATTGTTCAAAATTTTCCAATTTCATTCACAAGCTAAATCAAAATTGAGGAGAATTTACTGAATTATTATACTTGCGATCTCCTAAAAGAACAAAAGAAGAAACAAAACTTCCAAGTGACTTCTGTCGTTTACAATGGTCGCAGAAAATTTTGCGCAAAAATCCGCAGTCTACTGACAAAGTACAACTATATAAATCACTTTAATGATAGTATACCGATACAGAAGAGCATACAGGATATCCCAAAAATATCTCGCAATCCAGAAATAGATTCCCGAGATCCTCCGAACCAACTTTTTCCTCAGCGAAAATGCAACCCACGGCCTCGTTTGCGAGTTATTAACGAAAAACGCTAACCAATGAGACGCGAGATCATCTGACGCGAGGCGGCCGAGCCAATGAGCGGAACTGGGCTTCGCGCGCTCGTCAACCGAACCGCCCCGCGCCAGCCGAGCTCGCCTCTCATTGGTCACCGTTTTTCGTCGATAACTCGTTAACGCTGCCTCGTAGAAAATTATCGCAAAGGAAAAAGTTACTCCAAATGACCTCAAGAATCCCCTGGTTCCCGATCGCAAGACAATTTCTGGGACACCCTGTACAGAGAAGCGTCTCGCAGAATCCATTGAACTTTATTTGGCAGCATCGCAGAGAAACTAATGGAGCTCGGTTTATTTCTGGTGGCGGCGTGCGCGCGCGGGCGCGCGGCCGCCCGTAAGCGATCCCTTATTTAATTTTCCATCGTGTTAGATGGCAAGTGCATGGCGTGCACCTACCGGGTGAAGTTCATCGAGGTCTCGGTCGGCATCAACCACAACGTGGACGATCTGCTGGTCGGCATACTGAATCAGATCCGGCTGAAGAACGTGCAGGGGAACGCGGAGAACCGGGCCGCGAACGGGACCGAAGGCGGCGGCCATTGGTACAAGTCCAGAGGCGTGGTACGTGCCAGCATGAAGGCTAGACAAATGTTGACCTGGTTGTTCGGCAAGGAGGACAGTAAGTTCAAGAATTGCGAGAACCTTCACGTGCTCTAAACGACAGAAAAAGAGAGAGAGAAAGAGAGAGAGAGAGAGAGAGAGAGAGAGAGAGAGAGAGCGGATCTGTCAGTGGTACCTGAAGACGGATATTGTACGGGGTGCGGAACCGGCTTGTGCGATTCTTTTCCAGGCGATCTCCTCGCCTGCCGAGAAACGAAACTTACCGGATCGTAAAACGGGGGCGCTTTTCGTCTCGTTCCCGCGACTTTTCGGCCAAACTTTATCATCGAACTGCGGATTTCCGATGCATTTGTCGGGCGCCCGGACCGTTCGTAAGGCAATCGAGACACGCGCGTACGAACTGTATCAGGTCGTTGCATAATTTCTCCTATATTTCTGGCCGCGATTTAAATATGCAATACGGCGGAACTTCTGTGCCCGCGGACTCCGGAGACCAAGAGCAGTTCGTGCAACTGGGACGTTCGCGTAATACAGGGTGATTCGAAATAGATTGTAGCAAGTTCCTTCTTGAAGTTATTTAAATTTGAGCGGTTTATTTTGAAAGTGGCATAAGTCACTTTACCGTAATGAAAAGTGGTGATTTTTTAATGTTTACACGAAATTATTTATACTGAGAGAAATATCAGTATCCTGAGATATAACAAATATTAAGTAAATCTTCTCGAAAGTTAGCATCCATATTTTGAAACGTGTTAAAACGCAGACCATTAAATATATCGACTTGAAAACAAAGTGACTTATGCCACTTCCAAAATAAACGGCTCATTTATTATACTACTCTCGTTACTATTACTATTTTCGTTAATACTCGTCGTTAACGAGTTATTAACGAAAAAACGGTGACCAATCGGAGGCGAGCTCGACTGGCGCTCGACTGACGCGAGGAGGCGGCCGAGCCAGCGAGCGGACGAAGCTCAGCTCCGCCGATTGGCTCGGCCGCTTCGCGCCAGCCGAGCTCGCCTCCCATTGGCCATCACATTTTTGTTAATAACTCGTGAACAAAGCCGCGGATTGCAATTTCGCTGAGGAAAAAGTTACTTGAAATCACCTCGGGAATCTCTCGTTCGCCGCTCGTGCAATAATTTCGGGACACCCGGTATCCTAAAGGGTACAGAACGGCGTGAATATGTTCGATAATATTTTATACGATTAGAGATCCTAACGACAGAAATCAAACGACGGGAATGGATATAACGCGACGCAGTCCAGTATTTCTGTTTAATCGACAAGCATCGTTTATGACAATTACGCGCGAAAAAGATGTCTGTCGAATGACCACCGCGGCCATATTTACGGACATCAATTTGTACCTCAAAATTTTCGATGACGTTTCGGCTCGTACGATGACGTATTTGCTCGTTTAATTCGCCAATTTAATTTATTAACGTTGTTTCTTACATCATGAATTGTTGCTGGTTTGTTGGCATAAGTTTCGATTTCAAAGTAACCCTAAAGAAAAAGATCGAACGAGGTCGAATCGCACGAACCAGGCAGTCAATTCGCATCGCCATTTCTTGAAATTAAGCGCAATTAATTAATTAAATATCGATCGCAATAAAGCGATGTTTTCACGCGCCGCGTGTGGCGCAGCTTCGTCTCGTTGAAAGCGCGACAAAAATTAAGCAGCGACCTGATATCGTCGTCACAATTACGGACAGAATAAAAATGATCCATTTCAGATCTCTGGCGTCACGATTAATTAGCATTGCTTCCATTACATTCAACGGTGCTTCGTTCTTATTCTTGCCAGAAGAGAAAAGCGCGGTCCGATATTCGAACATTGTAGATCTTACGAATCGATCCGCGTAAATTGGAGCTCCCGCATTAACGCTAGATCTACGGAACCCGTCAAAACGACGAATCACTAATTTTTTAATTCACGATTATTCGGATCGTAAAGATACATTTGCGAGTTACAGTAATGTCTCTCTAATTGACGCTTAAATTGTCCAGAAAAATGGACGATTTGGGAAGAGGAGATACGATTATTCGAGCCTTATGGTTTATTTTTATAGTTATAAATTGTCCATAATTATAAAAATGAGCTGCAAGGCTCGCATAATCGTATCTCGTATTTGAGCATTGCGGTTTATTTTTATAGTTATAAATTATCCATAATTATAAAAATGAGCTGCAAGGCTCGAATAATCGTATCTCGTATTCGAGCCTTGCGGTTTATTGTCATAGTTACAAATTGTCCACAATTATAAAAACGAGTCGCAAGGCTCGAATAATCGTATCTCGTATTCGAGCATTGCGGTTTATTTTTATAGTTATAAATTGTCCACGATTATAAAAACGAGCCGCAAGGCTCGAATAATCGTATCTCGTATTCGAGCCTTGCGATTTATTTTTATAGTTATAAATTGTTCACAATTATAAAAACGAGCCGCAAGGCTCGAATAATCGCATCTCCTCTTCCCAAATTATCCATTTTAGTGGACAATCTGAGCGTCAGTAAGGGAGACATTACTGTATTTAGTCGATTTATACGATTTATACGCAAATGTTACCGTAACACTTGTTCAAAATCAAAATAAACGTCTTATCGTTGCTTTTAGAAACTACTATAAAAAAACAGCTGTTTTTATGCGCCCCGTAAATCTAGCGTTAAGATCCGCAGTCCATCACCGAATCGTATTCATTCTCGCCTATCGATCCCCGCCAGGATCGGAAGAACATTGACAGAGTAAAAAGCGAAGGGACGGTATTTTTTCGAAATAATTCAATTTAAGAGACGGGATCCGTGTAACGGCGACTACATACATATACCGCAGGGATCATGTGCGTTCGTAGCGATATTAAATTACTGCTATACTTTTTATACTTTTTTAAATTAACGTAACTCTCTTGTGTCGGAACAAGCAATTCTTGATTTCTTTGAAATTGATCCTGTTCGGAGTTCGCTCGTGCACCTGTCCCTTTTCTCGCTACCATTGAAGAGCATCGCGTGAAAAGTTGCGGCGTTCGAACGAACGTCGCGTAGTCGACGAAACAAGTAAAGTTTGGCCAAAAGTTTTCGATACGCTGCGCGCGTCGCGGCGAAACACCGGGATCGGTGCGAAACGATCGCGACCAATTATGTGCTACGAAGCAACCGCTTTGCCTCGAGATTCGTGCAGCGGTGGCCAATTTAGGTTCGCTGACTCTGGGCCTCTCGCGCGACCTTTTCGTTCTACAGGGCGTCCCGAAATTACGGTGCCTCCGAGAGACTCTGGGGATTCCTGAGGTCGATTGCAGCAACTTCTTCCTTTGCGAAAATTTTCTCCGAGGCGTCGTTAACGAGTTATTAACGAAAAACAGTGACCAATCGGAGGCGAGCTCGACCGACGCGGGGTGGCAGCCGAGCCAACCAGCGGGCGAAGCCCAGCGCCGCCGATTGGCTCGGCCGCTTCGCGCCAACCGAGCTCCCCTCCCATTAGCCATCACCTTTTCGTTAATAACTCATGAACAAAACCGCGGATTGCAATTTCGCTGAGGAAAAAGTTGCTTGAAATCATCTCGGGAATCTCTCGTTCGCCGCTCGAGCAATAATTTCGGGACACCCGGTATTCTAAAGGGTACAGAACGGCGTGACACCGTCACCCGAATATGTTCGATAATGTTTTATACGATTAGAGATCCTAATGACAGAAATCAAACGACGGGAACGGATGTAACGCGACGCAGTCCAGTAATTCAGTTTCACGGTCGCGATGTTTAGCGCTGTTCGCAGCGAACGACACCTTTCCTTTTCCGTTTTTCAACGAGAGGACTCGTCGGAGATCGCGGTACGATCGAAGTGCCAACCAATCAAAATGAACGTGACTGCTAATAATACTCTCTTCGTTGGAACGTGGGAGAAGACTTGATCGGGAGAGCTCGGCGACTAACCCTAACACCGATAAGAATAAGTTTTTATGTATTCCAACGGTTGTCCTTAAAACTCTGCATCGACCTTCAATTTTTCATAACGAACTCACCGGTACAAAGAACATTGCCTTGCTGCAATAATTATCAGTCCCGGGACTAATCAAAAGCGAACGGATAGCGACGGATAGCGACTGCTACGGGATAGCGAGAAGCAGACTGCGGATGTTTACGCGAAATCGAAACTGGAGCTTCGTTTGCGAGGAATAGGAGCCACGCGAACATTTCAGGCTCTTCTCAATTGTTTCAATTGGTCGAAGCAAGCGCGGTGATCAATTATCTCGACCATTACGCTGTTTCGAATTGCACCTGCTCACATTACTTGTACAGAGTGTTCTTTTCATGTGAGGGCATTACTTTGTTCTGGAATAACTTTGATGCAACAAAATTTGTATTTATTTTGCTTTCGTGTATCGGTTATTCGAATGATGGCATTGTTTATGAAAGACGTTAATTCTGGAGCTTTTGATCATGTTCCTTGTAACATTTGAGTATACTTCTGGCGTAGCTTGGTCAATTCGCGGATCTTTCTGCAAGAATTGCCGAAAAATTGTCGAAAAATTACCAAAAAATTGCCGAGAAATTGCCGAAAAATTGCCAAGAAATTGTCGAAAAATTATCAAAAAATTACCGAAGAATTGCCGAAGAATTGCTGAAAAATTACCGAAAAATTACCGAAAAATTGCCGAAAAATTGCCAAGAAATTGCCGAAATATTACCGAAAAAGTATTGAAAAATTGTCGAGAAATTGCCGAAAAATTATCAAAAAAATGGCAAGAAATTGCCGAAATATTACTGAAAAGTTATTGAAAAATTGTCGAGAAATAGTCGAAAAATTACCGAAAAATTGCCAAGAAATTGCCAAAACATTACAGAAAAATTGCTGAGAAATTGTCGAAAAACTACGGAAAAACTACCGAAAAATTGCCGAGAAATTGGCAAAAAATTGCCGAGAAATTACCGAAAAATTGTCGAGAAAATGCCATCTTTCTTTAACAATTTCTTGAATAAACCATCGAAGTTCCGCTGCTTCGAATCGCCCGTTTTCGTTCGCGAGCACGTAAAATCCGCAGTCTAGCGATAAGAACGAGTTCTTCCCTAATCGAAGGGACCTGGAGAATCGACCCGAAGACCGGGCACGAAGTGAAAATTTCATTGGACCACGGCGAGAATTCGCGGCCACTAGACCTAACGGCGGCCATGCTGTACAATAAGACCAATTTAATGTTTTCATTCGATGCTGTATATAGAATAAGTTTAACGATGCGGATCTGTGTACCTATTGTAAACGCGAAATACGTGAGTCGACGGCCGAGCTATCTATCTGTTTCTGGTGTGAAACCAGGAATGCGCGCGCGCGCGCGCGCGCACCCGCGCGAGAAACATTTTGTCTCGGGCTCGTTTTCATCCGGCAAAATGTCTTCGGTCAATTGAATATTTTCGTCGCCCCGATGAAAACGAGTCGGCCGAATCGATGAATCGAAGCCGCGGCATATAAAAGTTTGCCGTTGCGTATAAAACAATTCTCTGGTGCGCGCGATTTCATTCGATCGGACCGCCCTCGCGTCAGAAATACGGTAAATTCTCCCTAATCGACGCTCGGATTGCGCACAAAAATGGACAATTTGGGAAAAATAGATACGATTGTTCGAGCCTCGCGGTTTTTATGGTTATCGATTGATCTTTCTGCAAAAATTGCCGAGAAATTGCGGGAAAATTGCCGAAAATGACGGAAAAATTGCCGAGAAATTGGCAAAAAATTACCGAAAAATTGCCAAAAAATTGCTGAAAAATTACCGAGAGATTGTCGAAAAAATACCGGAAAATTGCCAAGAAATTGCCAAGAAATTGCCAAAAAATTACCGCATAATTGCCAAGAAATTACCGAAATATTACCGAAAAATTATCGAAAAATTGCCGAGAAATTGCCGAAAAATTACCGATGAATTGGCAGAAAATTACCGAAAAATTACCGAAAAATTGCCGAAAAATTACCGAAAAATTGCCGATGAATTGGCAGAAAATTACCGAAAAATTACCGAAAAGTTGCCGAAATATTATCGAGAAATAGCCGAGAAATTACCGAAAAATTGCCAAGAAATTGCTGAAATATTACCGAAAAATTACCGAAAAATTGCCAAGAAATTGCTGAAATATTACCGAAAAATTGTCAAAAAATTACGGAAAAATTGCCTAAAAACGACTACGACGACTATGAAAGCGAGCCGCGAGGCTCAAACAATCGAACAATCCCTCCTCTTCCCAAAATTGTCGATTTTCGTGCGCGATCCGAGGCGTCGATTAGAATTAGAATTTCCTGTACACAAACGCGACATATTCCTGATATCCCATGATCAAATAAGTGGTTAGTTTGTGTAGATGTATGTTACGGATTGACGTGTTTACTGTATTGCGTGTTTTCCTTCGAAGAACGATTAATGATGAACGACGAGGCGTCTGGCCGCAGCGCCCCTTAAAAAAAAAAAATAAGAATATATTCTTTTCGAAGTTTTCAGAGTATATAAGTATGGAAGATGATAAAGAAATATATATATACACTATTCACCGTCTATTTTCTGCGATCTCTATGCCTGTGTATCCAAATTATATTATACATACAATATACATACACATATACATGAACGTATACGTACGTATGTACAATACCGCTCAAAAGTTTGGGATCAATTATAATACTCGCGATTTATGAAAGGAAATAAAATGAATGATAACGGAGCCCACAGTGTCCCTTTGTTTTCAGCTCCATCTCCGTCCGTTAAGTATAAAGAAACACGTGTGCGAAAAACGTAGAGCCAATCGTCTTGCCGAATTCTTTTTAAAATTGCTAGAAGTTTTTTTCGATTTATTGAAAACGGCAAATCTATCGATTTTAATTGCGAAAACTAGTTCCACTGAAATGGCAGCCACGACTGGCTCGAAAAAATGGTGGCCTTTTTTCAATTTCCTTTTCCAACTTTTCGATATATTTTCAATCATTTAAATACGACTTTAATTCGACCTTAAACGGTCGAATCGATTTTCGACTGTGAGAATAAAAATCCTTAACAGAGTTCCCCATAAAAAAGGTGCAACGGCGCCACGATTGCCACGTTTGCAATCAGAGACTGCACCGTAATTATTTTTCACAACTGATCGGTAGGTTTATTTTCTCTTCGATAAAGCGAAAGCCACGAAAACTATTAAATGGCTTTCTCTTACAGCAATATTAGAAAGCGACCAACGCATGTCCCAACCCTTATACAGTAATGTCTCTCTAATTGACGCTCGGATTGTCCAGAAAAATGGACAATTTGGGAAGAGGAGATACGATTATTCGAGCCTTACGCTTTATTTTTATCGTTATAAATTGTTCATAATTATAAAAACGAGCCGCGAGGCTCGAACAATCGTATATCTGCTCTTCTCAAATTGTCCATTTTTGTGCACGATCTGAGCGTCAGTTAGGGAGACATTACGATGTAAAATGTATGCGTCTCACAATAGTCCGGATTCAGAAACTACGAGCTGCGTACGACTTTTTACGAGTCGCGAGCGAACAGCTTACAAGAGAATGTTCATAATTTGTGGATTCGAAAGATTCCGAAACTTCGAAGACTAGACGTGGAGCATATATCTTACGTATTTCTTGCCGTCCGTGTACACTCCAAGGAGTTAAAATTCATTAGCGAACTGATGAAGTTAGTGGAGAAGTTTGAAGACAAATGTTAATCTTCGCGAGGCAGAGGAAAAGTTTCGAGAAAACGTTGCTCTTGTTGCGCAAGCAATCGGAAGAATATTGCATTCAAAGACATTACCAGCTTCTTCGAAGATTAGTTTTCTGCGAAAATTAGTATTTTATTCAATATCAGAAATTTCAAATAGTTTCGAATGACAATAGAGAAAGTAAGTTCGTGTCACGTTTCTAGCGATTTGAACTGCAACTATTCAATTTTGCTATAAATTCACAAAATTCTCGGTCTAATTCTGAGACTTTCTAACAATGTACAGTAAATTTTAATTAATTTTCCTTCAAGTTGTAAACAAAAATGGATAATTAGGGAAGAGGAGATACGATTATTCGAGCCTCGTTTTTAGAATCGTCGATTGTCAATAATTGTGGGAACGAGGTGCAAAGTTATTTGTTATTTATAAGACTATTTTATATATTTATATATTTATATATTTATATATATTATATTATATTACATACATATATTATACTATTATAAATACTATAATATTATTGTAATACTATATATATTATACTATTATAAATACTATAATATTATTGCAATACTATATATATAATATTATACTATTATAAATACTATAATATTATTGTAATACTATATATATTATACTATTATAAATACTATAATATTATTGTAATACTATATATCTGTCTCTTATACACATCTTATAGTACTTATAATAGTATAATATATATATAGTATTGCCTGTCTCTTATACACATCTTATAGTACTTATAATAGTATAATATTATATATATAGTATTGCCTGTCTCTTATACACATCTTATAGTACTTATAATAGTATAATATTATATATATAGTATTGCCTGTCTCTTATACACATCTTATAGTACTTATAATAGTATAATATTATATATATAGTATTGCCTGTCTCTTATACACATCTTATAGTACTTATAATAGTATAATATTATATATATAGTATTGCCTGTCTCTTATACACATCTTATAGTACTTATAATAGTATAATATTATATATATAGTATTGCCTGTCTCTTATACACATCTTATAGTACTTATAATAGTATAATATTATATATATAGTATTGCCTGTCTCTTATACACATCTTATAGTACTTATAATAGTATAATATTATATATATAGTATTGCCTGTCTCTTATACACATCTAGATGTGTATAAGAGACAGATATTATACTATTATAAATACTATAATATTATTGCAATACTATATATATAATATTATACTATTATAAATACTATATATATTATACTATTATTAATATTATAATATTATTGTAATACTATATATATTATACTATTGTAAATACTATAATATTATTGCAATACTATATATATTATACTATTACATTATATTATGTGTATATATTTATAATTTACCTTATTCATAAAGTCCTCTTCCCAAATTGTTAATTTTAGCGTACCTCATACAACCCTGAATATCGAGAAGAAATTAAATAAAAAAAACAAAAGAAATAAATAATTCAGTTGAATTTGTTCTTATAGGGTGGGACTCGAACAGTCCCACCGTGCCATATGAGTTCATAAACGCGCACGCGCTACCGCAATATTTCGGTGGTGGGTCAAAAAATGTCCCGGCATGCATTACGGTGCACCATAATACGTGACACTTTTAATCCCACCGCGCCCGAAAGAGTTAAATCGCGACGGAATTATTACTCGAATTCTCAGAACCGAGTCGAAAATGGAATTGTCCGCGCGAACAGCGCGGCTAGAATTTCCGCTGGGAATCAATTTAATACGTATTACATTCGGCTATTTCGCCGGCCGATATTGTAATCTTCTAATTACCATTAAACACCGTAATTACGGTGAAGCGAGTCGAAAGCCGAGCCGGAGTTTCGTCCGCGCAACAGGCGAATATTCGACGAATACTCGGATAACAATTACACCATTCTTTCGCAGGGAACGGAGTGCGCACGGTTCCACGACCGTTCGGGAGACCCGTATTTTCTTCTTTTTTCTCTTCTTTCTCAAATGTTAACCGTCGCCTCGTAAATCTCGTCGCGACGCTTAGTTGATAAATAACCGACGCCAGACGCATGCGTCCTGAGCATCGATTATTTTGATTGGTACCAGATATTACCAGGCGCCAGTTGTGGCCGTCTGCCACGAAGCGAAGCGAATGTCGAATTTCTTTTAACCTCGAACGGAATATAAACGATAACAAACGTGGCATCCCGATGCAGAAATGCGAGATGTAATTTGTTCGAAACCGTACGTAGGCAACGAAACGTTCGGCAAGTGCCGCGGGTGATCGCGTTTCTATAATTTCGAGAGATCGAGAATGCCGATCAAATTCGTGTTCGGTTTTCCATTTCGATTTGTCGCGGACGAGATGATCGCGAAATTACACCGAAAGTGTCGAAAGTTTGCTCCAGTTGATTAGTATCTGTCGCGCGAGTTTTCTCGGATCGTGTCGGAACATTTCCGGCAGGATATTTTTTCCTCGTGGCTTTCGCGATGTTTTTTCTTTTTAATGATCGATGAGATGATCGAGGGATAGCATGGCCACCGTTAAACCGACCACCTGCAAAGAAGCTGTTCGCCGATGGGAGGAGGAGAACCAAGAAGAAGCCTCCGCGGCGACGGAAGTTTGCCTGTCCTTCCAATGGCCCCCCATAGAAAAGATGGATAATGCTCTGACGACGTTGGTGAACTGCGAGAAACTTTCCTTGTCGACGAACATGGTCGAGAAGATCGCAGGTAAACATCCCTTCTATTTTAAAAAACGTTCGAGTTAGTGCACGAATCAGTTCGTGGTGTACGCGATTAATATTTTCCATAAATATGTATATTATATCATGTATTATATTATATAATATATTATTAATATTAATATATTATTGTGAGATAATATATTACATATATATAATATAATATAATATATAAAATAAGATATGTATACTATAATATATGTTATATATATCATATATTATATTATATAATATATTATTATGAGATAATGTATTACATATATATATAATATAATATAATATATACAATAAAATATGTATACTATAATATATATATTATATCATATATTATACTATATAATATATTATTATGAGATAATATATTACATATATAATATAATATAATATACTATAATATATACACTATATTATATTATATACACATATATTCCACGAATAATATTTTAACGAAGCAATTTCGAGCACAAATTTCATTAATTAAAAAATAATAACGGGTAACGCGTGAAAGCAAAAGAAAACAGCATCCTTCAACGGGGTGGTTAATTTTGCTTGAAATTTTATTTCGATTGTTTTTTAAAATGAACAAAGATAAACGAAGGATGATTGCAAATTAATTTATACACGCGATGATACAGATCGGTTCATAATTAATCGTGCCATTATCGTTGACGTAAACGAATCAATATAGCGAGGACAGCAACTTCCGATAGGATGGTTAATTATATTTCGAATGGTTTATTTATTGTATATCGCGAACAAGCAACAGACATGCACACTTTACTAATATCGCTAATTTATATACGACATTTTTGATTCGAACGATTCCCAACAGCGTTAATTTAAAACTTGGAACACGGGGTGGGTTTCGAACTCTCCGGATCGCAATTATTTTCGCTTTTAATTAAAAAGTATGCGGGCGTTGGAAATAAGGTTCTCAAAATTCTGGGACGTAATTTATGTTGGGAAAACTGCGGAATAATGAACTTTCGCGATTCGGTGGAGGTAGTAGATACGGTTAATAATGATTTACATCTGTAAACAAAAATTAAATCAGACTTAAATCACGCAAATAATTTAAATTAATATTTATTTATATATAATATAATATTATCCTAAAATTTTAGTATTATAATATTATGATATGATACAATATTATTCTAATATTATAATATTAATATATTATGATATTATACAATATTATTCCAATATTATAATATTATAATATTATGATATTGTACAATATTATTCCATAGTATTATAATATTCTAATATTATGATATTATACAATATTATTCTAATATTATAATATTATTATATTATAATAATAACCAGAATTTAAGTTAATATTAATTAATATTATATTTTTTATATATAATATTAATTAATATTAACTTAGATTCTGGTTCGCGGTTTTACGGAAAGACTCGTCTCCAGAGCCGGTTATTAAATATTTTACATACCCAGCGAAGCGCAAGCTGCGAAAACGATTTGTAACGTGCATTGAACGGGGGCAAAGCGGACGGGAGTGACGAATAAGACGAGCTTTCGACAGAACGGACAATAATGTACGAGCAATTCCATTACGGTTCGCGATAAATGGACCGCAGATGCCGGCCATGCTGCTCGCTCGTCGCCGTAACTGTGTCTCAATTAATGTAACTCGATCGCCTGGGACTTTGATTAAACACAGATCTGGCGCCGTTTCGCGTCCCAATCGTCCTCTCGAGCCCCGGATCTCCTTTATTTTCGTTAAACCGAGACGTTCCATTTTATTATGCGAACGAACAGAATTCAGTCCCATAGAAATCTCATTAAATCGCCCGGCCCTGTCGGGCTTCCCTTATTTTATTATACAGGGATCGGAACTCTGAAGAACCTGAGGATCCTGTCGTTAGGTCGTAACATAATTAAAGGATTTTCCGGCTTGGAGCCGTTGGGGGACACGTTGGAGGAGCTCTGGATTTCTTACAACTTGATCGAGAAGACGAAGGGGATAAACGCCATGAAGAATCTTCGTGTGCTCTACATGTCCAACAACCTGGTCAGAGAATGGAACGAGTTCAACAGGCTCCAGGAGCTGGCCAACCTACAGGACCTTGTTTTCGTTGGTAATCCGCTGTACGAAAGTGTTGAGGTAATGACTTTGCAATGTCGTTTCTTTTTATTTCAATATTTTTCAACAATTTTGATCGGAGCTTCTTCGGTTAAAGATTGTACGATCTTTTATCTAGTTATCTAGTTATTGTAAATTTATTGTAAAATCACTGTGAGGACTGTTGAAAAGTCAATATGTAGTGGGAAAGTGACTAGAATAGAATAAACTAGTATAATTTAACACTGTCTTTGTCTCTGTATAGAATAAACTGGTATAATTTAACACTGTCTTTGTCTTTGTAGAGAATATTGTAAATTTGTTGTAAAATCACTGTGAGGACTGTTGAAAAGTCCAAAATAATGACAAAGTGACTAAAATTGGAAAATAATAGTAAATTCTAATTTTAATAAGTGTTTTCTCTCTTAAACATAACGTTGAATTGAAATTTTAAGGAATTATTGTCTTTTGACCTCTTTGGTAACAATAAAAGTAAATTAAAATTTTAAAAAGCGTCTTTTGTCCACTTTTGCAATTATGCTATTGATTTACAATTTTGAAAGAACGATTTAAAATTTTGACAGGCGTGTTTTTCGTCTCCTTCGATGAAAATAGTGTGAAATTAAAATTTTAAAAAGTGTATTTTGATCCCTTTAGCATGTGAACAGTTTTAGTTCACGATATTCATTCTTTCAGATGGAGCAGTGGAGGTCAGAGGTCGCTCGGCGCTTGCCAATGCTAGAAAAATTGGACGGCGAGCCAATAATACGAACAGAAGAATGTTGCGAATCGTACGAGCCGGACGCAAAATGTGGATAGTCCTTTGCAATCGGAAAACCGCTTGCTTTGATCATCAAAACATCAGTTTTATAGAAATTTTTGCTTTGTATTCTGTATCTTTTATATGGAGTTTCTTTTTGTAACAATTTTTAGATCGGGCATGAACTTACACCGAAGTTAATATACAAAATTAGTTCCAAAATTATTGTACCAGTGGAAAATGAGGGGTTCCTAAGATCATTTGAAGCAACTTTCTCCTTTGCAAAAATTGCCCCCGAAGCATCGTTTACGAGTTATTAACGAAAAACATTGACCAATGAGAGAAGAGCACGGCAGGCGATCAGCTGTCGCGCGGCGGCCGAGCGGTCGACGCCCAGTTCCGGTCATTGGCTCGATCGCCTTGCGCCAGGCGAGCTCGCCTCTCATTGGCCATCACACTTTCGTTAATAACTCGTAAACGAAGCCACGGATTGCATTTTCGTTAAGGAAAAAGTTGCTTCAAATAATCTCAGGAACCCCCAATTCCCCGCTGGTACAATAATTTTGAGATACCCTGTACTTTTCGTAATCGTATTAGTATTATAGTCTTCGAGATTTCCTTTTAACTGAAAATATTAATCTTTACACTGATATATGAGTCATTTATTTTGAAAGTGACATAAGTCACTTTTTCAAAAAAATCGAGTTAATGGTAACACTAATTACAATTGAACGGTATCTTTTCATTAAAAAAAAAAGTGACTTATGCCACTTTCAAAATAAACGGCTCATATAATTGATAGAGTAACCGTTGTTTTTTTATAGTGATTTTCTGTCGTCGTAATATTTTCATTCGAATAACTCAAGGAACAGTTCAAGAAACATGATTGTAACGGAAATTCTATGGAACTTGTATCAAACAGAATCTCTTTGTGAACACCGTGTTCTACGCTATTGATCCTGCTTAAATACAAACAGGTGGGCAACGGTGATTAATGAGTCATCTGCAGCTGCAACGGCATAAATTGTCATGTATCACGCGACACGGTTACGATGACACGGACGGAGGTGCTAGCGAAATTTGCTATGATCTAGGAGGGCTGGACAGATTTAATTCAGTAATTTCTAGTTGGAAGAAAAATAATGGATGAGAGGACATTCTGAATATAAATGACCTAAAATTTGCATTATTTTTGTCAAACGCGGATATTGCGTTGCAATTGCGGATGTTGTAACAGAGATCGAAGATGCTGGGACAAGGTTTAGCTGTTGAATCACATAATTTATATTCAGCTAATTAGCACTGGAATTTTCTTGATGCTTCGATTAGGCTCGTGTATTAGTTAAGCTCGATTTCTTCTTGTCTTTAACATTTGAAGATGCTGAAATT